CAGCTCCCCCGCTCGGGGAGCCGGTGGCGGCACACGGCGGCGTCCCCGGGCAGCCGGCCGGGCTTCTGCGAGGTCCGAGGTGTCGACCGTAAGTGCCAGTCGTTTCCCGTCTTGAGCCTTTTACCTGTCTCAAAGTCCGCAGGGGGCGGCTGCTCTTCGAATACTTGACTTGGCTGGTTGTTTGCTGTGCCCTTTCAGTTCTCTTTCCTTTTCGTTGTACAAAAGGAGAATTTGCTCCCTCTGCAGATCTCTCGGAGGTGGAGATTTTTTTATAGGTACGGGCTGTTTACTTTAGTTTGCTAATGACAGCAGTAGGCATCGCCCATTCTCTGTCATGGTTTCGTTTTCTGAGGGAGTAATAAATGCCATAAACCTGTTAGCTGCCCGTGTATGTTTCGTGTTGTGAAGAAGTGCTTAGGAAAATCAGCTGTAAATTGTGCTCTGATTTAGTCTTATAAAGCATGCTGGTTTAGTTTCTTTATCCAGTGTAATTTACACTTTGTTTTCTAGGATATATGTTCTTGGGGAAAACAACTACTTTTGTCCTGTGATTGGACAGTGTTAATGTAATGGTTTCCTACTACTATGGAAGCTTTGCCTTATCAGTGTTGGCAGGAATAGCTGTCATCAGAGGCTACTGCCTCCTCCTTGCACAGTTCTACCTCAGCGTTCAGAATGGCATATTCATATGCTGTTAGAGGTGCTGAATCTGTGCTGCTACTTAAGGTACTCGGGTATGGATTCTTAGCGCATCCCATGATCTGGTCAGTGCCCCTGAAGTTCAGAAGACTGGAAGAAACAAGTAATTGGATGGAATAAAGAAATAGGTACACTATGCATTGGAACATTCTGAGAAGTTACAGTGGGGTGGGTTCCTGGCCTGCTAAGAACCATGATACTCCTTAATGGAGCATCATTATAGGTTTGTATCTCCTATGAGTAATTAGAAGTATTACACAATTTCCTCCAAGAGTTGTCTTAATGGATCCCATCTCAGCTGTGTCTAGTGGATGAATTGCAAGGCTACTTCATATTTTCAGTGTTTGGGTCAAATATAATGGTTAATCCATCTTTTTAGCTTTTGTAAGTAATTGATGGGTTGAGGTTAACACAAATTTGCAGCTTCTTGCAGACAAGAGAATCTTTCTTTTCATGACTTTATGTATGCTGCGCACTCCAGTGACTGTTTCCGTGCATCCTCACAGTGTGAAGTATCTCACAGAGCTTTTAGCATATTTGCAGTCTTATACAGAAGTAGGCTGTTGTCACAAGATGGGGCAAATCTTGGATACAGACAGATTCAGGATTGTCCTATCTCAAAAATGTGCTGACCTTGCAGAGTCATTAATGTCATTTAATGTTGTTAGGCAGACTGCTCAGGTGTGCTGAGAAGTCTGGTGCTGCAAAGAAGAACTTGGTGTGTTTGGATTTGGTGTCTGTGTAAGAATGTTTTCAAATATAGTTTCTTACTGTGTCAACAGCATAATCCTTACCATTGGTCCGGGTGGCTGTTTTGGGGTGTTAAGGATAATAGAGTCAATACTCTTACAAAATTGTTCAACACCAATCTCAACTGTTAGTTGCTTAAAGAAAGGTCTTCTCCAATGGCATGTTGACTGTCTGAGAATTCAGTCCAAGCTTGCTGATTTCAGTATGGTGGCTCTTTGCACCTTCAAGCTTTGATTGTGTGATATGTGGGCCATCTAATTATTGAAAGCCTGCCAAGGCAGAGGGCTTGACATGACCAGTAAATACTGGTAGAGTGAAAACTGGACAAACTGAGGTCCAGGAAGTTTGATGTCTGAAGTCTCCCACACCAACAGTGTATGGTTATGGTACATGTTATGCTTCTGGAAGAGCGCTCTGGCATCTTGGTGCCCCTGGGAGTTTGGCGCATTGTTTGTTTCACTGGTTGTTGTGCTGCAAAGTGCCAAATTTCTGGCACCTTGAATGCTGCTATAAACTTCTTTCAGTAAAAAGGTGACGAATGGGTTCATCTGATTGGGTCACTTTCCCTA